ACTCTGATCTTGGCTCATGCATGACAGACAGAATGTGGCACTTGACACTGTGTTCGCCACGTGTCAACCGAACTGTCATCTGTTTGACGTCATGCTCGGCCTGGGGCTGCCGACGTGTCAACTGAGTGCTGTCAAAAGAATGCTCACCTCACTCATCGGCACGTAACATTGGCATCGCTTTGCACAAGCCCTGGCTTGGTTGTCATGGTATGGCCAAGAGAGAGTACTTCAAGTAGTAGAATACACGTACACAGTACTTTTCTTACTCCCTGGTGGCCACCGCCCAGGTTTGCCAGTCTGTCAGCACGTACGCACCCACCCTTTTGGATGTAGCCCTGGTTTTTATTCGAATTGAGTTTTCGATTTGAATTTCCCGCCACTGGCACTGGTGGCAGATAATGACTGCCACGTAAAATGTACAATTATGTACATGCACAATGTACATGTACATAATTGTATGTGCTTTTGCATGCGTCAGAAAGATACCAAATGAGGTCATTGTGAAAGTGCTCATTACAAAACATGTTTAAAAATAATGTGATGAAGAGGTTGGTGCGACTTCGGCGATAGTAGGGGAAGAAGTCACACACGCTTTGTTTAAAAATAGGTAGTACATGTATAAATAATATTATTGCCTTGGTTGACTTTGGATTTTTCTTCAATTTCATGTACATGTACATGTATCTTTCCGATCACATAACCATGGATTTTCAATAAAGTTCTTTGAGTTTGAGTTTGATAGTATGATGTACAGAAAAAATCTCGTTTACACTACTCCTAGACACAGTGATCAACTAACGATAACATTTAATGCCCATTTAAACGAATGTACATGTACATGTACGTCATGTCTGGGGAATAACAGCCCTGCTCAATGGAAATGCTTGCACCGCCGCCGACACCGTCACCAACAATTTACATGTACGTTGACATTGCCCTCGGAAACTAATCTGTGCCAAGTGTAAAACATCGTCTTTACCGTTTACCACCCCCGTGGTCTCCATTACATGTACATGTACATGTAGCTGGAACGGATCCAGTGTGCACAGGGATTCGTCTGCAACCCAAGAGTTCCGCAACTCAATAATAACACCATTGTGGCAGATAGGCAGCCATAAATCTGCCAGCTGGTCAACAACTAGGACATGCACTAACATCGAAAACAACGGGAAGACACATCATTTCTTGGCACAGGCAGTCGGGCTGATGCTGGTTGTACAGTCATGTAGTTTGAGTTGAGACTGCGTCCGTAAACATCAACATCTGACGACCTGTAACAACGACAGTCGTTTGTAAACACATCCTTTATCTTTGACATTTTTATGCAAGCGTGAGCCTCTCTATGTACAATCATGTACATGTACATATTCATTGTAATTATCATAAATTATGTACCTGTAGCTTGCTTGCAGAGAGAGCGTGCTGTCGCTTTGACGGGTCGCTCACCGCCTCAGCACCTGCACTTCACTCTCCTTCACCGCACAAGACAGCTACAGACCGCGGTCAATAATGAGTATGCGCATGCACAGCGATGCTGCCAAACGCGTGCCAAACCCGGCGCGGTAGGCCTTGACGGATTATGCTAATATTTTCGTGAAATTATGCTTTTCGCATTGCTGAAAAAATTGCAGAATTATGCTATTTTTATGCTAAAAGTTATCATATTATGCCGCATTAAGCTCACATATGCTGCTAATGTATAATGGTTCTGTGCAAAATAACAGGGGAATTTTTTTGTAGAGGGCATTGTACTGTAGTTAGCCAGTGCAGGCTGTCGTAATAAAACGACTCATCCGTGTTCCATTCCCGTGCATGGTACATGCATGGTGCGACGGCACAATGACAGCTGTCGCAAATCACACTGAGTATTACACGTGGTTTTTGGTGATTCCTGGTTAGCTGCTAGCTTTTCCCTACTCGAAGATGTTGCCACCGCGAAATCTGGGGGTTTGTGTTCGTCCTGGCGAAAACCGTGTTTTGATCCGTTGAGGGAGACGAGAGATACAGTGCGAAGACGTACGATCTGTCCGAGAATCGGCGAAGAAGAAAGCTTCGCAGACGACCCGTAGTGGTTGGGAACAGAATGGAACATATACCAGTCGATGCCTGTCATGGTAGGGATGACTGCTACGAAGTTTTAGCCCCATGCTCCCCAGCGCTTTTTAGCGCCCGACGATAATTACCAAATTTCATCGATTTTCCATGTGGATCAAAGCATAGTCTCCTCAATCTTCTCCAGTCGAGCTGAGTCTGGACGCTACAATGTCGAGACGCGAAAAGAGAACATGCATGAACACACAGGAGCATCACATGCAGCTGCATTCTGCCTTGACAAAGCTGAGAACAACACCAGCACCACGCATTTGGAAGACATTTCGAAGAAGACGAAGAACTACATATCTGCGTTCAAAAAAGCCTCTGCAGTATGCATGCGTGCATGCGCGAAGCACGGGGTCCGCGGATCAACTTCGTTCAAAAATCATTGTGCCACACGGGTTGTATGATTTGTGTGCGATCATGGTCTTTCTTCTTGACAAACAAAAGTGAAGTTTTTCGATCTTCAAATCGCCATAGCGTCCTTGTCATGACTCCAAATCAGCTGAAACTTTGCAGGAGGAATGAAAATGCCATGCTGAATCGATTGGTACCATTTTCGAAGGGTTTCCTTGAAAAATAAAAACTAGCCTGCACTGGCTACTGTAGTAGCAAAAGTTCAACGGGGTCAACGCACTGTCCGATCTAGCTACGACCGTCACTGATTGTAGTGGACTGGATATGTTATCATGGGAGTCGTAAACCTATGACTTCCTGGTGCATCTACTTGTACTTGTACTTGTAGAACATGTACAACTGTATGGAATTTGATGCGAACAGGCGGATTATTCCAATTTATGCGATTCATATGCAATTTGCCTCGAATTATGCGAATATTCGATTTTGGTAGAAATTATGCGAAAAATTATGCTAGCATAATCCGTCAAGGCCTACGGCGCGGTCCGGCCACCCTGCCCGCTACCATAGTTACACCGCTGCACGTACTGTTTTTTTTGCACTCCATACGTAATTTTATTTTCTGATATTATTTTATTGGTTTGGTGAGACTCCCATGATAGATGTATATGTAGGCATCCATTTACCTCTGGAGAATCCGTAAATACACAAACAAACAAACTGGACGCGAGTGTGATCGGGCACTGCATACTGTAGTCGAACACGACTGTACAGTGCTTGAGATGCCTATTGCCTATTGGTTTCTTGTGCTGTACGAAGCTCGACCCTGGCTGCAGTGCAGATACAAAATAATGTACAGTCCTCCTGCAGTCTGTAGTAATCTCCACTTTTATGTTGATGTATCTGCAGTGTATGTCATTCGGATCTTCCCAAGTTGTACATTGTACTGTTGAGATACCGAATTCAAATAAACCAATACCAATCAGAGTAAATCTGGGTAGAATGCGCGCGTGCGGGTGGCACCATGTCCGTGTTTAGATGTGTGTCCGTCCGTATCTGTTACATGTCCATTGTACATGGCTGTATAAGACAATGACGGTATCGAACGCATCAGTCCCATTTTCCCTCATTTGGTTGTCAACGCAAGCGGAGGGAGCTGCCCTGTGTTGTCCCAAGACTCCCGGGGATCCCGTACGTTGCAGCTGACAGTAGGGATTTGATAACAGGTGTTGTGATTGACCACCAAAGGACATTAGGCCATAGGACTTAGGTGACTGGATAATGCCAACTGCCGACCTGGCCAACACGACTGACAAACTGCTGTCGCTGACGTTGCTAGTCTACGTACAGATCTGAAGAGCAGAGATCCAAAATTCACAGGAGCCAGCATAAATTTGTTAGGGAACGCATAAAATAAAAGTCTCCCATATTCCGTTGCAGATCCAGCAGTGTAACGTTCTCCGCAGCACGCGCCCGTCCCGGGCCCATCCTATGTTGCCGTTGTTGGATCTGGCATTGGATTATTTAAAATTAAAATAACCCCATACGAAACTTAAATTTAACTCCATCCCCTGACTCTCGCCTAGAGTGCTGCGTGACTACCCCCTTCCCAGAGATTCCCTAAGACCTTCAGCCAATCTGAGGTGATCACCCTCCACCGCTGTAGCTACGATTGCATCTCAAGAAAATGCAGCTGTGGAAACTGATATTTCCTTCTCACAACGCATCAGCGGATTATTCCTCTCTGCTCAACGATAGCCGATTCCCCTAGCTCACAATCATGCAAGCTACACTCGTGATACGCATAGTGCCAAGGAATGACGGAACCCATTGAGTCTGTTTCGCTGCCTGACCCTCCGCCTCTGTACTACCGGTGCGATCCGAATGAGGCACTCGTGACTAGGTTACTTCAAGTGGCTGGTGGAGGACCCAAAGAGAATGGGTGCAGACTGTGTTGTAAAATCATTCACTATTGTAGTGTTCCATCTACAATAATGATTGTAGTCTAGACCAGGAACAAGTTCAGCTCCAGACACACGCACCATTCGCACTTAGACTTGATCTCTACGGCGTGTGTCTAGCACAGTAGTGGTAGCAGTACAGCCATCCGTATCGTCCACATGATCCAGCATAGCACACAAAGACAGGGTAGATCTACACAGAGCATCGACAGGCAATCAGGAACTAAAGCTGAGTAGAGGTACAGGTGACTTCTGTCGTCTAGGCGTTTTACCTGGCTGTTTTCCGCCAGGCTCTCATGTAGGCATGCAAATTGCAATGGATGAGAAGCTTGGGCATTCAGCCATGGCCTTTCACAAAACACCAGGCCGCTTTGGGAACTTTTCAACGCCACATACAACAATACTGGTTCCTTTCCCAATGATGATTATGTTCAAAATACCTGTACTGTACAGTATTCAAGAAATACATCTCACGAAGCTAGACACCCCCCCCCCCCCCCCCTCCTTGCTGCCCTCTCCCAAACAAAATGGGTTGGGCACCAGAGTATCTAACACATGAGGCAAACACACACACACCACCACTCGATATAGGATAGTAGAGTTTGTAGATTGTGAGGACTGTTTGCCCATGATCATGTACAGGCAAAAGAAAATCATGCCGCATATTATTATTGAACGGAAGTGGGAGTTCTTGATATGGTAAATATAATAGGGGTGATGGAACAATAATATGATGAGCTCTGGAATATAATCAGGTCAACAGCTCGGTGAAAGCTCTGCTGTAATACCTCTGTTGTAAAATTCAAACACATAATTCTGTGAGGTCAACCCTGGTGTGCAGCAATCAACATCAACTGGACAACGTCTTGCATAGACAAAAACGCAACAAGAGTCCATCAAAAATCAACATTTCACAAACACATTTTCACTGGAATGCTAGAGAGAGTTTTGGATAGTCATGACTACTTCTCCATGTGTGGCAGGAGGGGAAAAGGTGCAGCTTCCACCCAGCAGCGGCTTTTCACACACACAAGCAAACACAAGCCCTGTAAATACTTCACAGTGAATTGGTTGAAGGAAGGGCGTCTCAGCCGCAGTTCACACTTTGAACAAGACGTGTGAAGTACGGGAGACATACGAAATGTTTCCACACGGACTGCAAGACACACATGACGAGACGCTCACAATGAAACAGACGCCAGCAAACCAGCTCTAATTTCTCACCTACACAGTCATAGCACGTTTGTGCGAAATCAAGCAGTTGATTTCTCTGGATCAAATGTCTTAGAACAAACACCTCTGGTTCACCGTGTCGCGATTCCGAAACCCTATGTCCACATCTGCTCGCCAAATGATCGCCAGCAGCGAGATTTCCCTTCCCTTGAACGCCAGATGGGCGCTGAAAATAGCGCTTGTTTGTGGACAAGGGCCAGCTACCTAAATCCCCATCGGAAGGAAATCGTGGTAGCGCTCAGCTCACCCAGGAGCACCGTGTGCTGTTCCCTGAGTGCCCTCCGCTTCAGAACGGAGGATAGGTTCTTGGCAGTGTTGCCATTTCGTTGTAACGCGGGGCTCCTCTGACTGAGCTTGCGATGTCCCTGGAACTGACAGTCGCCTGCTAAACGCGGCGAACTGCTTTTACTTCACTCGTGGCTCGTCCATGCACTGACAAACATCGAAAAGTCACGATCTGTTGATGGCCATTGCTATCGCCAGAACACCGCCAGCGACCAGGGCGATCTGGGTCAGCGCTCGTCGCGTGGTAGTCTCCTTGATAGGATCCCTGCAGATTTCATCATACTTGCTCTTCAACGCCTCCTATTGAGTCAACGAATAAACAGCAAAGGAACAAAAACAGATCAGTCTCCGTCTGTTTGGAGAGTGGGCCGAGCTGCGTAAACAGTTTTCGAAATCTCAAAATTTGTTGCCGCACGGTGCGTACGGGAGGCTGCAACCTCAAAACAGATAACGACTACGTCCTCGCCGCAGTCTCACAGCCACAAATCAGAAGCTATGAGCACACCAAACACACACAAAGCCATCTGACTGCGGATGACAAAGAACGGGATTTAGAGAGCGTCAGAACGCACAAAGAACGAAACGAAATGATTCCAACATTCAAATTCCACGTACCTGAGCTTCAAGACGTCCATACCACTCGTGCAGAAACTCATCGATCTCATTTTCCAGCGCACGCACAACATGCTTGACGAACACGATTCCACGGTGCTCCAGATGCAGCGCTACATATCCACCAAACGCAACGGCTGTCAGCACCATTCCAATGGTGGGCTTGGAGAAAAGTTTGCGTAGAACTTTGCTAGATAGATCCACGGCGTCCTTTTGGTTACACTCCCAAGGAAGTAGCGTAGTCAGCGACTGTTGGAGCTCTGCCTTCTTGTCCTTTATAAGCACCTTGACTACTGCGAAAAGCTGTCGCACGTCGTCAGATTTGTTGATCATCTGTTCGTCTCTCGCGCTGGACACTGTGTAGAGACGGTCCGCCAGGCCCGCGTGGCCATTGTTGCTGAGCGTATGACGAACGCTTTGGCGCAGCATGGCGCGCAGCCTACAATCGTCCTCAGCAGCACCCAATGCTTTCTCCAGTGGCGGCGGGTCGGCAGAGGTCGTCGTGCCTGCGATTGCCCCAGTCACTGCCATAGTCTTCACTACACGGTCCCATAACGCGGCCATAGCGGGAGTCTCAAACACCAACATCGACCAGGTAAAGCGAAAGGAGCAAGAAGTTTTTTGCGAGCAACCACAAGAAAACTTCACTGCTCACGCTACCAACGCACGTATGTTCTACTTCTACGGAGACCAAGACTAAAAGTGTGGAGTGCCTTGATCTAGCCACGACAGTTATAAACCAACCTCTGAACCAGTGCTGCAGATACATGCAGCACCTAGACTAGATTCATGTATGATGTAGTAGTACAGTCCGCATCCCTCGCTCGACGAACCAAGGACAAGTGCCAGAGCACAATGCACTGCATTTGCACTGTACTGTACAGACTCTAGTCTAGTCTAGTACATGTACCATTGTGTACTGACCTAGCTAGCCTAGCCGCCTAGGCCGGCTAGCCCAAGCCCTAGCTTTCCCGACGATGACACAGTCATGACGCAGGCCAGTGGAATGCATCTGTATTCTGTAGCCTGTACTGTGTAGATCTACATGGTAGAGTCGCGACTCGCGACAGAGTACCTAGAGCCTAGAGTAGAGGTACTTGTCATGACAGACATCACTCATATCAGTGACAGATCGTGGGTCGACACGGCGTGCACGTGCGGATCGTAGGTCACACCTCACGGCTGTTTTTTTGCGCGATTTTGGCCCATTTAATATGGCGGCCGAGAACGCGTAAAAATTCATGATTTTCGTCCAGGAATTGCTTTAGACAGCTAAGTATTCCACAGACTTCGCCACTTTTCGTCTCCAATCAGCTTGGTTTGCCCTGAGTTTTCGATTTTTCGGCTTTGCCTTTCCCTCAGCTCCGCGTACATGCCGCGCGACCGCTGCTTCGATTTGTTTCCTTGTCTCTGGAGGACGTTTGTTTTCCTCTCCTGGGACGTTCGTCGTGCAGAATTTGAGCCAACGTTTGTGCCCCAAATAGTATCCCCAGATTTGAGTATCGTTTAGATAATTTGGAATCGGGTAGGTAAGTGTCCGTTCTGGTGCTGTAGAAAATTTCGTTCCGTGACGTGCATCAATTCCGTGTGACTTGCGTTTGCAATATTCCCACACTTTTGGTATTTCCCACACTTACTGGATCGTAACTGCAATTGTGTTACTCTCCAGTTGTTGTGAGGACGTAGAGTGATCATGGATGAGCATAAATCGCTGCTGCAAGAAGTCTGCCGAGTCGGTGGCAGAAAGTTTTCCTGTTTCAAGCAGTCTACTAGATATAGTGTGGAAAAATATAGTGATCTGCTGAAATCTGTACATGGCATTGATATCTCGAAAGATTGCCCAGACATCCACCCACCATACATCTGTATTCTGTGCGAGCGAGCCCTAAAGAGAGCCAGTAGAAAGGCAGACCATTGTGGAGGTGGCTGTGGACCTGTCACCAAATGGGAGCCACACCATCGCACAAACTGCTCTGTGTGTGCAAGCCAGAAAAAAAGGGGCGCAAGCGCGCACCATGCAAAACCAAAAACAGCATTGCGAGGTGCCGCACTCCTGACAGCACCCAGCCACCAGAGTGATGATGGATCACCTGCACACGCAGCCGGCAGCAGTGTAAGTGGTCTAGATATCAGTGCAGAATGCATACAATCAAGAGCAGCGCGACAACATCGTGCAATATTGCCGCTTGACAGGGACAGATTTTTGGACAGAAATGCGGTGCAAATTTGCATCATTTGTAAGAATGCCGCAGACGGTATCCTGGAAACAGCATGCTGCAATGAGCTGAGTTGTGCAGAGTGCATAAGCGAATGGCTCAGCACGAATAACACATGCAAGTCTTGTAGCGCTGACATGGCTGCATCATCGATGCGCACGCCCAGCATTAGTCTAGTCAGGGTTGTCAGCAGCCAGTCCATACACTGCGACTTCCACGAGCCATCGCTACGTGGATGTCCTGAAGTTGTGCCGCTGCATGACTTGCAACGTCATGTCAACATGTGCCCGTTCAATCCCGCAGAGACGCCATCATGTAGCACAGCACGTAGCCCGCCGCCGAGTACGACACCTATCCGCTCAGTGCGCCCATCGTCAACAGTGGCTGAGGTTCTAAGTGCTTCTCCGTCGAAGTTGAAGGGCAATGTGGCAACCAACCTCACTGCACGTCTGGTCACGGCTAGGGCAGAGGGTGGCAGGCTGGAGGTGAAAACTGGCGAGGGAGGCAGGGGCAAACCGCAAGTTTACCAGCTAACACCAGAGTGCAGTGTACCGTCAACCGATGCGTCTGCCTCAACACTCAAACGCCGCGCTGCTGAGCTGACCCGAATTGCTGAGTCCGTTTGTGGTGGATCGGATGGAGCTCGAGTGCAAATGATTGCTGGGCTGAAGCGGCTCTCATCAGCTGCACAGGAGGAGCTCTTGCAGGAAGCTGGCTTGAAGTGTAGTTCACCTTCGCCTGGCACCGCGCTGGCCATCAAGGCAGACCTCCGACTGCCATGGAGCCAATTGAGGAAGCTGCGGCAGTGGCTCAAGGTCTTCGGAGTAAAGTTGGAGTCTGAGCGTTCTATACGAGAGTTCATCGCGAAGACGCTGCCCAGCTACACTGCTACAGAGCTGCCGATGTCGAAGCGGAATGGCGATGTCTCCATGGCTGCCACTGTATTTTTTCCGGACCTTGTCGCTGTTGTCATGCATTTCCTCGACATCCTCAATGAGAGTGACAGCTTGACATGGCATTCAGGCACGATTCCACAGTCCGAAGTATGGCTCAAGATTGGCGGTGATCACGGAGGAGGCAACTTTAAGTTAAGTTTGCAGATCGCCAACGTACTAGCACCGAACGCAACGCACAACACCATTCCACTGTGCATATTCGAGGAGAAAGACACTCCGGCCAATTTGAAGACTGCTCTTGGACAGTATGCTCCACAGATTGAGCATTTGCAAAGCACGGTATGGAACGGCAGGCAGCTGAGAGTGTACATGTTCGGCGACTACGAATTTCAGACTATGAACTACGGGCTGTCAGGTTCTGGCGGACTGCGTCCATGCTTGCACTGTTTGTGTCCGAAGAAGGAGATGGCCAATCCAAATGATGATAGAACAGATGCGCATAGACAGGCACGCACACTGACTACATTGGCTGATGATTATGGCAGATTTTCTGAAGCTGGCTCGCAGATATCACAGGCAAAGCACTATAACAATGTCATTCGTCCGTGCATATTGCCAGTGCCCGTTGAAAATGCAATCATCCCGGTGCTGCATCTCGACTTGGGCATCTACACATGGATGTTTGAAGCCCTTCTGAAGGACCTGCAGGAACTGGACTCGAAGCTTGCTTCGAAATGCAATGCTGACACCAACGATGCTGGTACGTTCACCAAGTTGTGTGCCCTCCACGAGAAACTCCGCTGCGCACAGTTGCAACTTGACCAAGCCGTCAACGAACAGCAAATGGTCCAACAACAGATGCAATTTGTAGCTCTCCACATCCAGAACCAAGCGGAACAGGCGTTACTGGCATTGGTGACTACTCTACAGCAAACATGTCAGGCAGCAGTTACGAAGACCCAGCAACACACTTCGACTGTCGACGCCTTGAAGGACGAAATTGCCAAGCTATGCCGCAGTAAGGACTTCAGTGGCCCATGCGTAGCCTCTGTGGAGCCTGTTCTCCAACACCACAAGATTGAACGTCAAGTGTACCACGGTGGTGCTTTCATCGGCAATCACGTCCACCAAGCCTTGAAGCCCACCGTGGTCGCTGCCATCAGCCATGCTCACGTACCAGTCATCACGTCCAGGTGTCCAGTCCTGGCGGAGGAGGCCCAAACAATAGCATCTTTACACGAGAATCTGATGAACAGCTACGCTTCTTGTCGAGCTATCTTCAGTCACAGCCAGGCAGTTTCAGCAGACGAGATGGATAAGCTAGAGTCTGAAGTTCGGCGCTTCTTGAGTATGTGCAGACGACACGTTGTGGCACGGCGACTTGGAAACATCACGCCGAAACTTCACCTGTTAGAGAATCATACGGTGCCGCTCATCAGGAAACTTGGAGTTGGTCTGGGCCTGCTCGCGGAGCAAGGGGCAGAGAGCTTGCACGCCAGTCTCAACACCCTCAACGCCATCTATAAAAACATACCAGGAGACCTCGCCAGGCTGAAAGTTGTCGCCGAGCAGCATCTGCTAACAACCACCAAAGAAGCCAGTACGCTGGCTCCTCGTCCACAGAAGAGGAAAGCCGAGGACCAAGGTCCAGTCTCCTCGTAAACAGGTAAGAAGACAGCGTGGTGACAGCAATGTCTGTCTTCGTGTTTTGTATTTCCAACGCTCCAAAGAAAAACATTTGGAGCACCAGATCATGCTCCTCTTTCAAATTTTCAAACGATCTTCAACTGTTTGCGTTTTTTGTGTCGAATCATACTGAAAACCAACTTGGTTTTGTTACTATTCACAAGAATTTACCGATTCGCATCGAGCTTCCAAAACTTCTCTAAAACCCGGTGGAACGACGCCATATTGTAATCTGGTCAGCCCCGGACAGCCGTGACCTGAGCACAGCGGATCGGATACGGGATAGGAAGACTGACACTCTATGCATGCACAGATTCTGATGTTTGAAAACAGCACAGCAGACGGCCAGGCCCGGGCGCGCGGCGGCGCGCCCTGCGCCCCTGCATCATCACCATCACTGACATCAGAAATCAGCCTGATCTCAGTGATCTTGCAGTGCAGTGAACTGCGTGGGGCGAGTCTTGACTCCGTACTGCCTTCATCACTAAACAGTGAGTTACACGTCTCGACATAGATCTACAATGGCGGTAAGTATTCTGTAAAGAGTGTAGTCTGTAGGTTCTACTCTCTGCATCTGACCGGCGGTACTCATGACTGTAGTGTATGTAGATCCTCATTGAACATCTAGAGACTACTACTAGTACTACAATCTACATCAGTAGGTCTACATCATACATGTGGCAGTTCTGACGTGAAGGCTGCGCCACTCACGACGTCGTGAACGAACAGTCAGTAGCCTACTACTAAGTACTAGTAGTACTAGTACTAGTAGATCTACTTACTAGGAACTACTTGTCCTGGTACATCATGGTACATGGCATGGTATGGACCAGCGACTGTGTACATGACTTGTACTTGTAGTCTTTGACGGTACAGTACGTTCGTAGACCGAGTACAGACTGAAAATATGGTAGAATCCGATTGTATTGTATACTGTGACAATTT